GTGTGAACAAACCGAAGACACAGCTCTGTGTATACTTAACTGGAGGAAGATACAACTGATCTTTGTTAACACTTCACATCCAAACTAAACTAAGCTAAATAACGCAAGCAGAGAGAGTGGCAAGTTATGAGTTATTTGAGTTATTTTAAGACTAAAATGTGTTTGTTCAAAATGAACAATAGCATCTTAAATAATGATGGTTTAATACACACTTAACACCATGACTCATTTCCAATCACTTACTCGCTTTTATGACTGATTGGAAAGTTAGTCATTATGGCCTAGGTCAGCTTTTCTAACAAGTAAACAGATAAAATTGGCTCGGATGTCATCCTGTAATGGGTATCAAATTTAAGTCAAAGTCCAAGTCATAAATAAAACTTTCACACACAACACTGATGTATTTCTTCGAATACAAAAACGAAACTATTAACCTTCAACTTAAAATATAAACCTCATGTGAAGAATTTACCGTTATCATGGTGTTATAATGGTATGATAGATTCCAAGACAAGGTATTTTTTGTACACAAAACTCCATTCAGCCATCAATTTCTTTTAAAACTTATCCAATCTAGCGTTGCAGTGTGCTACAGCCTATCTGTGCTACAGCCTATCTCAGCTGTCACACTGCAACAGCCAAAAACTGGTGTACAACCTGGACTAACTGCCAGGCTGTCACAGGGCTAACACATAGAGAACTGCAGGAGGGAGCCAGAGTTTACACATATAAGTACAGGGAAGTCACACAAAAGGCCCGAGCTGGCTGGTGGATTCAAACCCAGGTGACAGCGCTAATCACCAACTACCTTTATTAAAAAAAGATACAATTGAAAGCATATATATCATATATAATATATGCATATATATAATATAAATAAATGTAAAAAAAAACTATAAAACAACCTCATATATAGATATAAAATACTCTGTTATAAATAGAGAATGAAAAGCCTTCTTAACACAGAACAAGTCATGAGATATTTAACACATCTGTCACGGCGGGGTACGCGCTGTGTTTTGTTGCACGGACCCAAAAACAGACACCGAAGGAAAGAACTGTGTTCTCAGCAAAAGAAGAAGCTTTCTGGCCAATTCTGGCCAAACACATGAACTAAACCAAAAACGAGACCAAGTCTACATGAAGATAAACAGACAAGTTCGTTTGACATGAACTAAGACTATGACTTGAACTATGATTTTGACTGTGACTAAAACTGTGACTATGACTAGATAACATGAAGGAAAATGGGCAGACGTCCTGACAGCGAACAGTTATAGAAAAAGGACTTAAATACGCACACATGAGGTGATATGGGGAAGTGGACACACATGAGGAAACAGATGACTAGAATGAACATAATGACGCACAGAGAAATTAACACGGTGAGACGCAGACATGACAACATTAACCGTGCAGATATAAAACATGACAGGCAAGACACTCAACAACAAGGGGAACTTTAACACAGGGGTGAATACCCAAGGGACTCTAAATGAACGAAGAAGTACAACTGAGGAACCTAGGTGCTAATGCCAAAAAGACTAAAAATAAATAATGAATTAAAAAAAACCAAGAAAACTTAAAGTGCTAGGTTACACGACCCAGGACTGTGACAACATCATGATGATCCTGTGTTTCAGGACACTCTGATGAGCAGTCACATGGACATGCTGTCAGACCGTTCATTATGAAATAAATAACTACATGGTCAGGTTTTTGGTTTGGTACAAGTCATAAGTGACACAGAGTGCTTTGACTTCGGGTTGTATTCTGTTTGTTTGTTCACTAGCAGATATAAGTAGACTCAATTTCACTTAAAATACCGATAATGTGAGAAGATTCTGAAAGAAAATAGTCTCTTTTCTATATCTTTCTATATCTCTTCACTCTTTAACTGGTAAACAAGGTATTATTACTTCTATTGCTAGTTGTGATGTCTAAATAGTACAGAGGTGTTATTGTTACACTACTCTCTTTCATTTCTCTCTTTCATTTTCAAGTCAAAACCTGGTGAAGCAGACAGAATTAATAGAAAAATCTTATATTCACTTTCATTTATAACTGTTACCATGTTACACTTTATGAACTGTTGTGCCAAGACTCCATAAAACTCGGGATACAAAGTCTTCCATGGAAAGAATCAGCTGTAAATATTGAGAAATTATTGATAACAGGTTCATTAGAGTGTTTTTATGATGTCACGGCATATCTACCAGTGTAGAGGTGAAGGCTGTC